TTGTTATCTTGTAATCTCTCCAGAAGGAGGTACTTCTTATCAAATTGATGTATTCTAATACTGAAATCCATAGTCCCTACTTGTGACCTAGGCCAGTGCTTCTGTAACAGAGTATCTCTTATAAAACCTTATACTAGTAATAGAATTAAAATATAAGCTTATATCTATCTTACATTTATAGGACATTATAGATTTTGTTACAAAGTTGATATTATCTGTTACCATCGTACACATTATATAGCCTGAAACTTGCACACTTTCAACTTGCTTATTATAATGTGATAACTTCCCATTATATATCAGTGGTTTTAATTACTACATCTAACCTGGAATTCCTCATATTCTCCAAATAAATCCTAATCCAGTAATCTGATTGGATAATTAAACAAAACTTAAAATTAATTTTATTGATTGATCAGATGATTGCAACAATAAAATCATCTTAAGTTAAGTTTTCCAGAATAAGCTCCCCTGGAAACTTCTGAGAATACAATGCAGCAATACTCTCTCTCTATTTGTAGACTTTCACTTTTTCTTCACATGAGAAAGAGGGTCCAAAACATAGCCCCAGTTATGAAACTTGAAATATCTCTTATGTTTACAGGTATCAAGACCCATCGATATTTTCCTGTCACATGACTGGCCTCGTGGTATTTATAACTATGGTAACGTCAAAGAATTATTACGCAAAAAATCATTTTTCGCTGAGGAAATAGAACAGAATAAGCTAGGAAGTGAACCTAATGAAGAATTGTTACATGTTTTAAAACCAGATTATTGGTTTGCTGCTCATCTACATGTTAAATTTCCAGCTATTGTACAACATCAGGTATATCATCAATATTTTGGTTGAAAGTTCATGTCAGATTAACATCAAAAACACTGGCCCTGGAATCAGAATTTTCATACATTTAGCACAGCACCTTTGTTTAGTAGTTTACAACCCAACTTGATGCCTACAGAGCTCATGGTAGCACTCGATTGGAAAATTCAGATCAGGTTCCATCATATGCAATTCTACCCCCAATCGAACAGTGTGACATTCCTAATATTCCCATCTATTTTCTTCTCTGCCATTTTGAATTCTGTCTGCAGGAACACGTTCTAACTCTGTTCCAACTTGTATTGAATGTTCTGTTGCTTTCATAAATTGTAAGAATCATAAGAGTCTCTCTATCTGTTGAATATTTTTTGGTTTGTTATGTGTTTTATATTTTACAGACTAATAATGGTGAAGAAGAAAAATTAACCAAGTTTTTATCATTAGATAAGTGTCTTCCTCGACGCAATTTCTTACAGGTAAATAGAGTTATTGCCCTTGTATTATTGTGATAAATTTGTTTATTTTTTCTTTTGAAAATATAAGATCTTCATTTATACAGTAATAATTGAATTTCATGTAAGTTTGGATATGAACATATCTAAAAAATTAACAGAATTTGGAAACTAAAAAATTTGGAGTTTGAAAAATTTGCTCATGTTTTTAAGCTTTTGCAGTTCTTCAGGTATGCGAATGTACATAAAATACAATATTAGCTTTTGAGCTCCTACTTACATAGATAAACATTAGCATATACATTAATTCATGCTATTGTTGATAGAATTAAATATTATTACCAATGACAACTGATATAAATATTGATTAATTTGTAGGTTATAGATATTCCCCATGACAACAACATTCCTCTCAAATTACAACTAGATCCAGAATGGCTGTCAATTATTAAACAGACCAATCATCTATTGAATCTTGGCCCCGCCTCCTGTTTTATGCCAGGCATTGGCAGCAATGAAAGGTATGGTTTAAATCATGATGTATTAATTGTTCAAGTTTAGCTTCTCTTTACTTCAGATTGAAAATTAAAAAAATAAAACTTTGGATATTGGACAAAAACTTAAGACTGAATGGGTGGCCATACAAAATTATACACTCAAGTATCTGATGTTGTC